TTTGTCGAAACACTACACACAATTCACACATCCACAGACACACGTAGCAGAAAACCTCAGATCTTTTGCAAATCAAAACTTCACTAAAAAAAGAAAAGAAAAAAAAAGGGCACTGAATGACACAGACATGGTTCATACAATCTGATTCTGTTTGAACATCTTAAACACTTGTAACATTTCTACTTTTCTAATGATAGAGTCTGGGTTTGATTTTTTTTATTATAATTTTCTTTTCATTGATATTGTAAGCGTAAAGTACATGAATATGTTGCCCAATCACAACGCCACTGCATTGAATATTTATTTCTCTCCACATTGTAAAATCAGTCAATGCATCCATGCATTTCCAAAGGTCACACTTTGCACTGAAAATCAGAACATATTATAAAAATGATATATAATATAAACAAAAACATTTGTGGAGACAAAAAGAACACATGATGAGGAAAACACAGAGCTTAAGTATCATCCCTTCACCTAGCTGGATCTGGTCATAGCACATTGTCTAAGTCACAGGCTATGTCCTCTCTTGCAAGACAGCGAGGGAAGAATCTTCTTGAATGGCGTATATGCATACATAATTACAATTCACAATTTACACGAGTTGTAGAAAATACAAAATACATGATAGAGAATGCTTGCAATATAGTGAACTGTATATGAAAAAAAAAAGATTAGATTACAGGTTCAGTTAGGTGGAGTTGGGGTTGGAGGAGGGAGTTGATTTGTGAGCAGCGATGCGATAGAAGAGATGCTGGAGAATGGGAATTTAAATGGACCGCTGTGATAAGGGTCAAAACTGGATTCAGCTGATGCGAGCTTGACTGCCATGGCCTGCCAGAACTAATGTCCATCACCACAGAGTTCAATATAGAGAATCTGATTCTAAACTACCCAGTCAACACGTGAGATCATGCGCTGATCACAGTGACATCACACAATTCTCATAGTGTGATACTCACAGTGTGAGTAATATGTGAGCTCATTGTGAATTCAAAATGTTGAGCAGGTTGAGAGGAGGCAGTTCAAATATCGGTCACCGAGGAAGCTTTCTATATCCTGTTTCTCAACACTATCACAGTGCTCTCACATGCTGAGCTCATGAGTGCACGCTCAGCTAACAGCTTTTTGTTATAAGAACCTTCTCCAAACATACAGCTGACTTCCAGACACAGCCTTCGATGAAATCAACTGAAATACAAAAGACATTAAATCTTTGGTGATCTCAGCAGAGAATGATTTAACAACTCCACAAACAGCATCAGCAGCTTCACTCATTATTAACCAGACTGACTTTATTTCTGTCAGACATCTACAAAAGCGCTTATTGAGGCTTAACAGAGATTTAGATGATGATATTTTATTGTTTCATTTGAGATACCATTAAGGTGATTCGTGTTTGCTTTAGTTGGGCTCTTGACCCGTGACTTTTTAACATTACATTTGTTTGGGCTGCTGTAACGGTGTTTGTAATGCGCATTTTTATGGCAAAGAATACCAAATAGAGACCAACCAGTTGATATCGGTTTGGTATTAATGATAACAATACAGTCTTCAGTCAGATACAGTATGCGGTCTTTGTGAGGAGTTATTAATCTAAAGTTTCTAATTATAATATATCTTTGATTATGTACAGGAGTCCAACAGTGTTCTACTGTATGAAGGATTTTAACAGCATGATAAGTCATAACCATTTTGAACTCCAGAATCATTTAAAAACAAAGAGAAAGATCAAGAATCAGTGTATGAATCTCAACAATGGTGACAATCAAAAGCTTCATGCTGCAGTGCATGCTGGGTACCTAGTCTCTGTGCAGTGAGTGCACTTTGACCTCACATTAGTATGAGCACACATTGAGGGCGCTGTGAGGTTACACTTTTAGCTCGTCAAATGAAGCTCATTAATAGATCGTTAATCAGTAAGATTAGAATGTCTTTTTTTTATTATTGTTTTGTACAGGGCTTTAGCTTTATATGCTCGAATAGCAGCATAAACGACCATGAGGATATATTCAATCGTCGCATCATGCACCTGCAGCGCTTCTGTGAAAGGAGAAAAACAGAAATTAAGTTTCTAAAAGGGATAAAATCAATAGGATCACACAAAATATATAATAGGCTATAATATAATTAAAAGATTAACAAAAGGGGGGAAAAACACTGTGCAACAAGTATAGGCTATGCTCGTTTTTGTGACACTCTTAATGCATTTAATTTATTTTCTTTATATCTTTTTGATTTAATCCATCTGATCGCAGAGGCGCCTCACGCACACACAAACAACATTAGTTCAGGCGTTGCCTGACATTTCAGCCATTCATCATCAAACTAAAATGCAGTCAACCAAACATAAGTAACACTGTTTATTTGAAAAGGTCCTCTGTAAAATCAGCGTGCAGCACCCAAACAATAAACATTTTTGCACATGTGAAGGATTTCACACGGATATTAGAACATGAGTGAAGTATAAAGCCATGTTTAGGCTGCATAATGAATAATAGTTATGCAAACAAATGTTACAAATATGGCAAAAATGGAAACATTTGGATTCTTGTGGTATGAGATAGGCGCGTGAGCCCAATGCCGTTTCAGTTTTGCTTGACATTTGTATGCTGTTTATAATGAATGCCACTATAGCCTAATTTGTGTTTTATTTTACAGTTAAAAATATAATTTTTGTGAAAAATCAAAGTGTTGACTGGTTAATGAATCAATCAACTGATCAAATTATGTAAAAGCTGGATTTATCCTGTGTTGTGGGTAAAATTATGTCTTGTCTGTTTGTGTAAGGGCGGCATATTTAGCAGGATGTCTGGCAGAAGTTCTGAAAGCGGAACAACTGAAGGATTTTGAAGAGAAACGAGAGGAGTTTAAGAAGGAAAAGGAGGAGTTTAAAAAGAAACCAAGCGAGTTAATTGATGAGAAAGACATCCTTTGTGTCCAAATTGCAGCTCTGTGCTATAATTTAGGTGAGTGCCAGAAACAAGCACACTTGAGCAGAAATAAAAGTATGTCTATATCTATACACCTGTGATTTCTCTTTTTGCTGAACATCCTTCAAAAGAGGGGAACAATGTAAAGGGAATTAAAACAAAAATTAATAACCAATAAATAATATAAATTAATATAAAACAGATTTATATGTAGATTTATTTGCAGAATTTGAATTTAAAGAGTTTTTAAAAATTCCATTTGAAATGTTAAAAGTTTGTTCGATGTAAATGTAAAATTGAATTTTTTTGTATTTTAAAATGAGGTAAAGCAAAATATTTATACTGTTTTTGTACTTGAGTGATTTTATATCTGTAGGAGTAAGATGGTTGAAGCCCTTTTGTTCTTTTAACTGACAGTTTCCTCACACCTTTTTTATAGCAAATGATGTGATGCATGTCAAATGAAAAGAATATAAAATTGTTCTCATGTAAAATATGAAACATGCAGTATATTTTACTGGTATGTTTTTTTTTTTTTAAGGTCATGGTCCATTTTCTTACGTGTTTAAGGACAAGTTCATCCCTAAAGTCTGTCCTGGTAAGTGCCTGAGCTTCTCACTTTACTGATGTAAATGTATCTGGTCAGTTGAGTGTTTTCATTTAAGTGTAAGCTAACAATTTTATAATGCAATTTATTATTTTTTTGTTTTTGTTTCTAGATTTCTAAATAAAATAAAGCAAAACTGATTAACACATATATATTATTAGGATTCTTACTCTACAGCTGATGAATATTTTTACATTATTACCTATGTACCCACGTGAAAAACAAGGTGGATAAGTACAGTATCAAATCATTATGCCTATGGAGAGTCTAAAAAAACCCAACGTGTGTCTGTGTGTTTGTGTGAAAGAGATTACTTCAGTAATGTGTATAACTGTGACTTAACCTTTGAATAACCTTTGAATTAACCTGTGAATAACCTTTTTTTTGTTTTCTTAGGTGATCAATGGAAGGTAAGCAGAAAAACTCCTATATACAATGCAAACTGTTTTTAAATTTAGCATGTATATTTCACAATTCATAATGCTGTTTTCTAGGAAAAAAAGTGCTTTCATTACAAATACAAACAACTGCTACTTGATTAAACCTAATGTGGTTACTATACTATACATTACTATATAGTAATGTAGGTTACTATACAGCCTACTAAGAGTAAACTAAATTACATATTGTACTGTTGAAAGAAGCAAGTGTTAGCAAAAAACAATCACAACAAATGTGTACAGTAACACACTATAAAAGTCTTTTGAGTCCGTGTGCTGGAGGGCTTCAAAGCAGAAATTTGTCAAATATGCTTTACATTTTTGATACAGCACTTACATTAAAGCAATACAATGATCATTCTGTAATCATTTTCTCACCCTTATGTCCTCCCAGACCTGTATGAATTTCTCTTCTTCACTAGAACACAAAAGTCAAGCTACAAAAGGACACAGAAACACAATTATAGTTTCATAAATATTGTTCTGAAAAAGGTTTTGAAAGACACTTGTTTTCTGTGGCTATCCACAAGAATAGAAAACCAGGAGACCAATAAATGATAGATCACAGTTCAGTTGTAGATACTGTTGTACATGTAAGAAGGCAGACAAGAAACGAGACACTCTGATGTGTAGCATTCAGAAATTATTTTTTGTTTTTTTGAATAAAATCATTTACTGTAGATGCCCAGCTTAATGTAGAATTCTGTATTTATAGCTGTATACAGCTTACATTGTTTATTTCTTAAAGTTATGACAGTGTCGCAAATCATACATATTAGTGTTTGTGTGTTTTATTCTCATAGCATGAGGAGGCCTCGATTTGGCTGTTTCTGGACATAGTAGAGAACAATGAACTGAAAAATGAGCTGAATAAAGAAGACCTCACCTTTATTAGAGATTTGATTAAGGGCCGGGAAAGTTCAGATCCAACGGTATAAAATCTTGTAAACTGCTATTTCAGCCAATGTTATACAGTGTTTCTTTGAGTATTGAGTTATTTTCATTCTTACAGTGGCCAGATGACAGCAAGAGGAGTAAGAACAAGGCTTTCCTGTATGAGATTGTGGTAAATCAATGGAATGGCGTTGATGTGCGCAAATGGGACTATTTTGCACGGTAAAAATTTCAACTTTTAAAGGGATGCTCATTGTAATAATGGTTGTTAATCTTAACAAGAATTATTATATTGTAAAATACTTAAATAGACATTACTTTAGATATCATGACAAACCTTGATATAGTATAACCTTTACTATATTTTCATAAATATTCATATTTTGGTGTATGATTTGTTTTTATGGCTGAATAGAGCATTTCTACAATTGATGAAATCTATTGCTTCTGTGTGATGCAACACACTGTTGGGTGTCTGTATAAAGTCAGAGGTTTCTGTCAAAGCAGTCCGCACAACATTAACCGAAACCATGCTGAATACATCTTTTTGTCCTCTCTTTCAGAGACTGTCATTACCTTGGTATCCCAAACAGCTTTGACCATCAGCGCATGCTGAAATCTGCTCGTGTGTGTGAGGTGGACGGGAGAAAACACATCTGCTTCAGAGACAAGGTGCCTCATATACAAGATCACTTATTATTCATTACGTCTCATAAGATAATTTATTACCTACACCACAGAAAGGTGACTTTGTTTACACTGTGCAGTATGATAAAACATTGTCACCTGTAAAATATAATGATCAATCATTGCTCAGCCTGTAAAAAAATATTGTAGAAACAATGCTTCAGTCAAGTGAGTTAAAATGGAAACTTACAAGATAGCATGAAATCAATGTTCAGATTTGAGGAAGATGTTTATGGATTAAATTGAAAACATTTACATTTCTATATTTAAGACAACCCCGCTATGTATAGTTAATGTAGACGAGGCTTTGATGAAAATAAAATAAAGGTCAGTTCATCTAATCAGCCAATGTGTCATTCTGTATCGCGTGAGTAAGCTTTTACTGTTAATGGCTCTACTTCCACCTGATATAAAGATGCATTTTTGGTGATCTGATCACTAGTGGTCAGCGTTTGGTTATTAGATCACTGAAACCACATACAGTAGTCAGTCTGTGTCTGTGCTCTAATCCATCAATCTCTGTCTCTCTCAGGTGGCAGATATGATTTATGACATGTTTTACACCAGATACACTCTGTATCTGCAGGCCTACCAGCACAAGATCGGCAACATCATCGAAGAGAAGTATGTTTACAATGATTGCACTACAGTTTTAAACTATTTTTGTGCTCTTCTAGTTCAGTGTTGCTGAAGTTGTTTATTGGTTCATACTTTTTTGATTTGTTCATTAGAATCTCAGAAGCCCTCATAGCAGCGAAAGACAAGATCACAAAGCTCTCACCAATTGCTGTATCCAAATTACAAAAAGATTTCGAGAGGAAGCTCTCAAATATTCAAAGTAATGGTAAAGTTCGTGAGGACCCAACAGCAATGAAAGAGTTCATCAAACTGACCGGTCAGTTAAAAACATGATAATTAAATGAAAGTGTTATTCTTTCTGCTTAGTAGTTTTCATTTGGCCCAAGAAGACTTTTATTTGTATTTATACATGTCTGTTGCAAATGTTCTCCTTCTATCAGATCACATCTTTGAGGAGATCTTATACTCCACTGATGTCAAGCTGAAAGATGCCAAGATGATGCTTGAGGATGTTGTGAAGAGATGCCTGCCAAAGTGTGTGGGAGAGACTCGACTAAAAGAAACTGAAGAGAAAGATGAAGTGGCCTTCAAGGTATAGAAAAAAAATTTGAAAAACACAATGTTTTATTTAACTACCATCTTCAAGGTAGTTTTCTTCCAAACATTGAGGAGGGCACTGCATTTACAATGTTAAAATATCATCTTTGACTGCTGGCCTGTTCTTTATTGTTTCCTTTCTCCTTTCATTGTTGTGAGTAATTCACTAGTGCGAATAGAATTATAGTGAAGCATATCATTAAAACTTCATTTAGAAATAAATTCTAATCTTGCCCTTCTAAACTGTGCTTTAGTGTTATAAATTGTAATTTTGAATTGGTAAATGCAGTTTGTATTATCACTCCATTGAAATTACATGTTCTTGTTTGTATCCCAGTTTGCTGGTAGATGGTTGGCAAACTGGGACAGTGTCAAGATCACAGAAACAAAATAATTAATATACAGATATATTAAGGAAAAATGTAACCGAATATTGTGTTCCTTATCAGAATCATGTCCCTTTTTAATTATTTTTCTAACCTTCTTTTCTCTAACATCTCATCATTTCAAACATTACAATCGATAGAAATGTGTAGTTAAAAAGCAATGCAATTTTTTATTGTTTATTGGGGAGGGACATACACAGATAATAACACACACTCTCATATAGATCATTTGTTGAACTTAAATCTGCATTTCTACAGGATGACTGGAATAAAGCAGTGGACGAGTGGAACAAACTTCACCCAAATCTGGTCTTGCGTAAGGAGGATTTCAGCACTGAAGTATGTGGTGTTTAAAACAACATTTCCAGTCTTTTTTTATTAGTGCTGTCAATCAATCAATCAAAAAAAAAAATTATTAATTGCACATTTTTTTTCTGAAATTAATCGTGATTAGTCACAATTAATCCCACGTAACATTAAAGTTTTTAAATATAATTTTATATCGCAATAATTTCACATTAAATTTTCAAATGAATGTAGAAAAAACATAAGGAGAGTATATTTTTAGTATTTGTTTAATGGCATCTTTTTTTGTTACAGACAAAGACCAGTATCACTGATACCAATACTACAGACGTCTCTATAAAATAGTTTTCCCCCTAACATTTAACCATTGTCTATAGCCATTCAGCATTACAGTATAATTGAGAGCTGTCCATTTTAACATTTATTAGACTTTATAAAAAAATTACTTCTAATTTAAGTGAATTTAAAACAATTTTCACATAAACCCATTATAATAAATGTTATATTTAACAGTGTCCATCAGCAGAAATATACAGAAATTAAAACTGAAGTTATTAAACACTATTTTAAATTAAATATAGATGAATCCTTAAAGCTATAAAAGTTATTGATTTCCTTTTTTTATCTTTGATTAACAGACATCACAGATTATTCGGTTATTTTGGCTATTTCTTTAAGAGCTGCCGCTGCTGAACATGACACAGATCTGACACGCATCGTATCTCCTCTTAAATCTCTACCTTTTATGACCCACTTCAGGTCTTAAAGTCTCTAGTAATGAGCTGATGAGTTAATTTGGGTGTGTTAGATGAGTGAGACAGTGCTGGGCTGCTCCAGGACAGTTTTGAAAACCACTCCATTTCAGAGGCATGTTCTTAAATGTGACTCATATATGATACATTACATGCATGCACAGTTTTAAGGCAGCTTTAATCACCTTTTTGGTAACTTCATGACTTAACTGACCACGACATTGCATGCACGTAGTTTATTTCGCACTTTGATATTAAATGATACAGGCTACAGCTCGCACCGGCGCATTTGTGCATGCAATTGAAGAGCACGCGCTCCGCCTAGTCTCAGCCTCAGACGTCACGCCCACGGACTGTTGCCTGAACGTCTCATGCATACGGCACACAAAAGTGGAAAGACTTCAGGAGTTTCGAAGTCGTCATCGGATTGGTTGAATTATACAGGATTTCCGGAAGACGTGTGTTGCGTTCTTTAACATTCCGTCTGGAAACAAAGATACCGTGGCGCCAAACGCCCTCACGAAAGAAGAAAGCCGTCGTGTTTTCAATTGTGATGAAGAGCACTTATCAGGATCAACTAAACGCTGGATTCTCAAAAGTATGCAAAATATTTAAAGTTCGCATAGAATCTTTAAAATACGTCCGAGAGTTTTACACACCGGTCTGTTATTGTGGCGACATTTCCACAACCCGAAACGTGACGCTGAACTGTGATTGGTTGTTTGACATGTCTGGTTGCCGTCAGTCTGAAGGTCTGGCTATGTGAGACTAACTTGCGCCTGACGCTGAAGTGAAGTGGATCGCATGTCTGAAACGTCTCCCATTTGATGTGATCGTAAAGACGTTCTGTGACTGAATAAATGCATTTCTTTTAAAGAAAAAAAAAGAGACAGAAGCAGCAGTTGTGAGTGGGGTGGCCAACTCTAGCGCCGCCCCTGTGTTAATTGCATTAAATATTTTTAAACTGAAAAAAAAAAAAATTGCCTGCGTTAACGCGATAATTTTGACAGCACTAATATTTATCCCTTTTTTTTTAATCAACAATGTAGTTGTTCTAATTAGTAACTGTAACATTGTAAATCTCCTCTCACAGGTGATTCTACTGGATTATAATAAGGAGGATGAAAGCCCTATCAACCGTGTCTATTTCTACAGAAAGAAGCAGCACAATAAAGGCCGCAAGATTAGGAAATATGAGGTACTCATACCACTGTGCTGCTCAAGTAACTTGCCACTTATCAACATATTAGAAAAACTTTTTCTAGAATAGCTAATTCTGTGAGGGCCACTATCATCAAAGATCATTGACAGTTAGCACACAGTGTGGACTGGTGGTATGGTAATGGTTCTGTTGTGGCAGTCTAGCTCAGAGAGCAGCGATAACCCCCTTAGAGTAGACAGAACAGAATCAACACAAATGTATTGAAGATATCATTAACGTTGTTATTAACATCAATTTTAATATAACAACAAATTTCTTGGAAAGGAGGAGGGTAATTAGCTTCTGAGCAAAGCAATACATCTGCTGAATAATACTGAATAGACCTTATAAGCATGCTATGATAGTGTATTCCTATTGGTAGTCGTGGATCAGCTGAGTCAGATAATACAAGCTTGCTTGACGTGATCTGCCAAAACTAACTGTATGCTTGATTTCTTACAACACTTAATCAAGTGATGGTCTAAGCAATAAATAGCAGCTTGCATTCACAGTCAATTTTTTCATTAAACAGCTAACAATTGTGAGCTAACGATTGGCCTACACTGTCGGACAAAATGTGGAAAAATTGTACCTTTAGTGATACAGCAGCTTGTTGTCACAAGGTCCTGTGAGGAGGTTAAGACGATTTTAAGGGTCCTGGTCAGACAGGGAATCCAGTGATTCAAAACAAAAAAAAATTATATTTGTTAGTCAATATTAATTTGTCCCAAAAGTGATTGATAATAGTGAGGTTAACTGGTTAGTTCTCCCAAAAATACAAATTATGTCGTTAATTACTCTCCCTCATGTTGTTTCAAACCCGTAAGACCTTTATTCATCTTTGTTTTCTTTGGGCACAAAAAGTATTATCATAGCTTCGTAAAATTACAGTTGAACCACTGATGTCATGGAATATTTTACCGATGTCCTTGCTACGTTTCTGGGCCTGGGAACATTCCAGTTGTGTTGCTGTCTATGGAGGGTCAGAAAGCTCTTGGATTTCATCAAAAATATCTTAATCCGAAGATGAACAATGGTCTTACGGGTTTGGAACGACATGAAGGTGAGCAATTAATGACAGAATTTTCATTTTTGTGTGAACTCTTTAAGGTGAGTGGTTCAGATAAGTATTCAGATGGTCACATAAGTTTTATTTCAATAGTCACTCACAAAAAAGACAACCCAGGGTGCAGGGAAACTTGCTTTGGGTATAAAGCAAGTTTCCTGGATCTGTAATGACTGATCAAAAAGTTGTTTTTGATTTCACTTGTATCTCAGTTCTCCAGTCTGCTGCCGGGGAAGTTTAGTGAACATGTTGGTCGAGTTTACTACACAAAAAACTCTGATGAGGAGGAGATGGATGCTAAGGAGTGCTTTAAATGGTGGCGCCTTGGCATGGTGAGTGTTTATGGTTTGTTTGTCATTCCTGCAGAACTGACACATGCAGACACAGTGTATAAGCCACACAAAAAAAACACAGTATAATGAGCACATAAGCTATGTTTCCATCACCCTGTTTTTATGCGCATTTGAAGTATCACATCAGAAACGAGTGATGGAAATGCCAAATTTCAAATAAAAATCCCTTAATTCAAAAAAATTTCTTTTTACGCTCACTTGAGGTGGCTTTTGACTTGTGTGAAAAAAGGGTTAATGCGAATAGTGGGAGATGGAAACGCATTTGCCGAGTAAATTCTTCCATGCGCATCAAAAAAGTAATGTGACTTTGCGCTATGAGACGGCAAATCCTACCAGCGGACCGATCTCGTTCCACAGCATCTGAAATGCCTGAGCAAAGTCTGTCATTAAAGTTTTTCTGTATAATTGTCTTACACGACTGTGTTCCCAAATAGCAGCATCCACCTCCGAAAGCATTGACAGCATTTATTGTGTTTCGTCTGCTCACTCTGAGGTGCAAGCAATTTATTATATATGAAAAGTATTATATTCAGTGGCTTCTCGCACTTTCCTTAGTGATATATATTGCCAGTTTACCAGGAAGTGATGATCTTGTTCTCTTTGACTCATTGGACAGAAAGGTGCTTATTGCGTGTTTTATAAGTGTTTTATGTGCTATTTCAATTTTGCGCATATGTTCCCCCCCCCCCCCCGAAAAAAGAAAAAAACTCACCCTCTCTCTTCTCTCTCTTTTTCTTCAAGTGTGTAATTGAGCTATACGATCAGCATGCGTTTAGAGGTACCAAGTGTGTGATCACAGGCAACTGTCCATCATTGGACCGCTGCAGTATAACAGAGGTTCGCTCCTGTAAGGTGATCCGAGGCGTCTGGAAGCTCTGGAAGGGTCGTGACAGTGGAGATGATTACCTACTGAAGGAGGGAGAGTATCCCAATCTTAAGGCATTGAGCGATGGCAAATCCACTGCTTCTGCTCCTGCTCCCGTTCCTGATCCTGCTTGGTCTCTTGAATGTCTGCCATTTACGATCCAGCTCTATGAAAAGGTGGATTTTGAAAGTCCAACCTTTGAGACAACAGTTGACTGTCCTTCATTGAACAGCTGTGGTATAAATGAGGTCCGCTCCTGTAAGGTGCTCAGTGGTGTCTGGGATCTCTATGAGGGTCCTGACTATGCTAAACCCAGTTACCGACTGCAGAAGGGGGAGTATCCCAATCCTGAGGCGTGGGGCAATGGCAACACTGCTCCTGCTCTGTCTGTGAAACGTATGACATCTTATAAGATCCAGCTCTATGAAAAGGAAGATTTTGAAGAGCGAATGCATGAGACAACAGTTGACCATCGTTCATTGGATGACTGTGGTATAAATGAGGTCCGCTCCTGTAAGGTGCTCAGTGGTGTCTGGGATCTCTATGAGGGTCGTGACTATGCTGAACCCAGTTACCAACTGAAGGAGGGGGAGTATCCCAATCCTGAGGCGTGGTGTGCCAGTGACCCCACTGCTCCTGCTCTGTCTGTGAAACGTGTGACAGAGTAAATTCGGACCTCTAACTCCATTCATCTGCTGCCCTCGTCCACCTTTAAAGTAGGGCTGTTAATTTAAAGCATTAATTTAATGTTTAATTATAATTTCTAAACAAAAATAGTCTAATCAGTGATTTACTCTGCTGTTACAATTATATAATATATTTTACTTTGTTTTATCTGCAAATGGCAATATATACACTGAATTGGGAATAACTTGATTAATTACTTATCATATCATGATAGCATATCATGCAATTAATTTGATTTAGTAGATGCTTTTATGCAAAGCGACCAGAAAATGAGGAACATCAGGATTGAGTGATTACAACTGATTGACAGCTATTGAAGCCACATGTGCCTAAATGAGATTATTTTGTGAATAAAACATGTGGCAGATACTGCTAACAAAGAGCAGTGCAATGACAAATCAGTGATGAGAAAGTAAAATCATGAGAGTAAATCAATTTAAAGAAACAGCTATTAAACTAAAGTGGGGGAAGATTTTACCTTGATTTTAGTTCTTCACAAATACAGTAGACAGATATTTGGGGCTAATAGCTGATTTATGTTAGTGTTTGAGCAGCTTGTTGTTATTATTATTATTATTCACAGTGTGGTGCTGGATGTTGGGTGAATAGGCACTAGTTAACAAGATAATGGTGAAGGGTTGTGTTATATTAGGACAGGTTTGTTTGGTGATGGATAAACATAGGTATTGATCATTTATTTTTTGTAATTTCTTTGAATGTGTGTGTGTGTGTGTGTGTGTATATAGAGTAGAGATCTGGGTACAGTTCTTATGAAATATTTTGGGGAGTTGTTCATTTTTAGAGATTGAATTTGATATGGAATCAGTCTTTCTACATCTAATATTTCACCTTTTAGGATGCAGGAGTTCAGTTACATCTTTCTTGTGTGATTACTGGGAAAACATGGTTATTAGGGGGAAAATGTAATGCATTTCAGCTTGTTAGTCTCAAAAAAATGACACAAATAAACTATTGCATCAACAACCATGGTGGAGCAATTATTTGTTTCTTGTCTAATAAATGTTTGTTTTATTTTGAGTATTACTTCCTCTGGTTCATAGATGTGTTTGTGACTAATGTATCGCTAATTAATCTGTTTTATACACTAATGAGAGAGTTTCTAAAGCCTGAACAAAAATCAAAATAAGATAGTGAGAACCAAAATGTGCTGAATATATTTTATTTGTTTTTAATGCACACAGCTGTCATATTTTTTTTAATATTGCAGCATTTTGATAAAATATGAAAATAAAAATTGCTCAATATAACAGCAGTTTACACACAAAAGAGTTTCAGTAAGTTAATGCAGTAGTCAACATTTGAAGTGGATCAAAAGTTCATCAAAGTTGTCCTAAGACAAGAACACATTTTGGTTTTAGGACAACTTTGATGAAAGGTTTTGATCCACTTCAAATGTTGACTACACAGTAAATTCCCGAGTGTTAAATTAACACTGCTCGGAGCATATATGGTACCACTCTAAAAGAGTGTTAAAGTAACACTGAAGCAGTGTTAAAGTTAATGAGATAATTATGTGATTAATTAAGTGCTGATTGAGCATTAGTGATGAACAGCTGCTGTTAACAAGCAGAATCACTGAAGAAAAGAGAAACACAAGAACTACAACTGACTTCAGCCACAGACTTAGATGAAATCAACTGAAATAAAAGACATTAAATCTCTCAAGATCTCAGCAGAAGATGATTAATCATCTCCACAAACAGCATCACCAGCTTCATGCATTACTAACCAGTTAGACTTTATTTCTGGAGTATCTAAAATAGAAGTTCTTTACTGAGAATTACTGTTTAGATGTTTTTTTTCTTCAAATTACCGTTTTTGTGAATAGTGCTTGCTTTAGTTGCCTCTTGACCCTTGACTTTCAGTTTAAGTTTCTCTTTGGCTGGCACAATTGTGTTTATAAAGAACATGTGTGATGGCAAGGATCTTATGATAAAATCATATCATGTGTCTGAGTCTTTGATTGCAATTTATCTAAGACTGTAGTGCTGTTATGATTTCTATGTTGTTGCAGTTATTTGAGATAGCAATGTGAGAAACACTTCATAAATGACATTTATAAATATGGTTCATAAAGAAGTTTCACTTCTGGCACTCATAGACATGAAGAATCAGCATGTGAATCTCAGCAATGGTGACAAAATATTCTGATAATTTTTACGTGATTTTTGAACATGACAAAACAAGGCAGTAAAAAAAAAGTCACAACAAAAATAAAAGCAAATACTAAATGCAGCTGCATAATTTATTCATGTTGCAATGCATGCTGGGAGCCATGGATGAGTTATGATTGGTGCACCCAGAATGCACTGCAACATGAATCTGTCTGATGATCGTCACCATTGTTGAGATTCATATGCTGATTCTTGATGTTCTAAACTGCTGTGTTTTTAAAGCGGTTTTATTTCATTAAAACACTGTTGATATCACTAACAAATTATTTTACTCATTACCACGATGATATCAGTGAACCTGCAATAACATGACAACTACATCATTAACAAGACTTGCAATATAATCTAAACCCTTTTTCTCTTGATTTGTCTTGCCATAATTAATGTGTTTTATAAACACATATACAGCAATCACAGAAAAAGTTATGTTAAAAAGTCAAGTGTCAAGAGCCCAACTAAAGCAAACACTTGTCTCCACAGCGGTGACTTCAAATTTTATTATTTTCAATAAACATTAACATCTAAATCTCTGTTAATTCTTAATAAGAATTTTTTAGACACATGACAAACACAAATTCTAACTGGTTAGTAATGCGTGAAGCTGGTGATGCTGTGTGTGGAGATGATTAATCATCTTCTGCTGAGATCTTGAGAGATTTAATGTCTTTTATTTCAGTTGATTTCATCTAAGGCTGTGGCTGAAGTCAGTTGTAGTTCTTGTGTTTCTCTTTTCTTCAGTGATTCTGCTTGTTAACAGCAGCTGTTCATCACTAATGATCAATCAGCACTTAATTAATCACATAATTATCTCATTAACTTTAACACTGCTTCAGTGTTACTTTTAACACTGTTTTAGAGTGGGACCATATATGCTCCGAGCAGTGTTCATTTAACACTCTGGATTTTACTGTGTACAAAATAAATTGTCACAATATCTGAATTTCTAACTTCGATGTGATAATTTGAAAAAGTATAGATATTCGGTACAGCAGGGAAGAACTGCAGAATATAATGTCATAAAGATATTTTTAATATTATAAAAAAATTGTCCATCAATGGTGGCAATCAGTAGGCTAATTTCTATTGAAGAGACCAATTTATATGACAGATTTTAATGTAGGCTTTTATTCATATGTAAACATTGTGAGATAGCTAGTTATAACGGTAATTAAACAAAGTTTTGCTCACTCAGTGTATTTTTGATTTTACATTTGGGTAATTTTGTTGCAGTAGCACGAAATAGCTTTATTTAAAACTTTGAATTGAATAAAAAAATGACAAGGAGGCTAAGCAGTTAATAATAAAATAAGAACAAATAAAGAAATTACTAATGATAGCACAAATAAAAAAAAATAATGATAGGCCTACAAATGAAATAAATAGCATATATATACACACATATATATACACACATATATATACACACACATATATATATATTTTTTTACCAATTATCCAAATAATGTTTAATCCTAGAACACTATTATCATCATCATCAGAGGACACGTGAGCATAACGGTTAGCAGATCATTGAATGAGAGGGCAGCGTTACCAGAGTTGACCATATACCACACCATGTTACAACACAGTAGGGCTATTGCAGACAGAAACAATACTGTAATACATCGATGTTTCCTGTCAGCTTGATTTTTGAGTGGACTTTGCTGTTCCGATGAGCATGAATGGTATATGAGTGGAGCACTCACATGGGCCGTGAGCGACTGAGCGGAGCACACACGCATAGAGCGGGATAATACGCACAGCATCATACCACGTGAAAGTGAATCCTAAGCGGTGAACTAATTTTCGGCAGCCAGTGCCGAATTTCAGTGCATCTCTTATTATTGGCGACATCAGAAATTGATATTATATAATAGCTGCTTTTATGAACATTTATAGCAATTTAAAAATATTACAAAATTATTTTTTTCATGGCACACCTGCTCTCGACAGACGGCACCCCGGTTGGGAAACACTGGTCTATACACAGTAGCCAGAGCAGAAGATACGATAGATTTCTTTTGCATATCTGACAGTGTAACATTAAGCATTAGTATTTCGAATGAGTTAAACCTGTATCCTGTCTTCTGAGTAACATTGAGAATATCACTATATATTGTTGCAACACCTCCTCCACGACCAGTCTGACGGGGCTAATGCTTATAATAGTAGCTTGGTGGAGTAGACTCATTTAGACCAATATAATCATTAGGTTTTAGCCAGGTTTCAGTCAAGCAGAGTACATCAAAACAATTATCTGTGATCATTTCATTTACAATAACTGCTTTGGGTGAGAGTGATCTAATGTTTAGGAGCCCAAACTTAAAAAAAATATTTTAAACCAGAAAAAATGTAAAATAAATGGTTTAATCACGATCAGATTTTTTCTAGATTCTGCATTAAATTTATATTTTGACCTCACTATTCTGGGTCTTTATAGATTGGACAGCGCAAGTACTTCTATCATTTAAGCGGGTAGAACAAAAGTCATCAGGGCAGTTATTTGAGATTTGACTTACTAGTCATATGGAGCGCAGCGTCCTGGAGATGTTGTCCGACATGAGCTCCGCTCCAACTCTGCTGGGATGCAGACCATCAGCGCGAAAAGCCCAGTGTTAAATTAACTCTCCCAGGAGTTTATTTGAGTCCACACTCAAAAGTGTTAAAATTAACAATGAAGAATGTCAAATTAACACTGAAGCGGTGTTAAAGTTAATGAGATAATTAGGTGATTAATTAAGTGATGATTGACCATTACTGAAGACACCTGATGTTAACATGCAGAA